AATATAATAAAAGGGCTTAAACACTAATATGCCATTGTTATAATTTATTACATTGGAATCGTAATTACGATCCAATTCATCAGACCTACAAATTAAATGGATTAAATCCAATAAATTATTTGATTTTTTTCTGAAATGGATACTTATATTAGAGTAGATGTTCTAATTTTTTTTTATATAGTTTACAATTTGCTATACAGGGCTTCCTCAACAGACAACAGAATTCTGTTCCTATAACGTGTTATAACGTGATTTTCCATGGAAGTCGGAACATTCCTACAGAATTAATATCTAATTTTACTTCCATAGTGATGTTTTCCTTTTTCTTCAAAGCACTGAAATCAGAAGAAGTTACACTATGCTTGGGAGCCATAATGAAGGGCAATAGGTTTCTACAAACAAAGGAGAGTGAATGCACAACAATCCAATATGGCGTACAACCAGGAACTGACCCACTCCACCTTCCTCATTTTAGCACCGTATGAAGACATTCTTCTGCCATGCAATGTGCTGTATGTACGATGCAAACAGCAAAAGTCAAAACAAGATTAATAAAAATTAAATTGCAACCAGAAATTGTCATAGGCTGGGACTGTCGTAACTCAGGGTCTTACTGAAAAGAAGAAAGTTTAGTATTGGAAATAGAGAATTTATAGATATAGATGGTGTGGATGTAAGAATCAACACTACATGATAGCTACTATGCAGTGTTGATTCCCATATCCACAATGCCTCTTTCTCCCTTGTGCTCTCTCTATCTCTCTCTCTCTCCATACACACATACATATTATATATATTAGTAATGGCTGGCTATGCATTTTTGAGCCCACCTGTCTGCTAGGGTGGCTAACCAATTTGTGTTTCAACACTCACAGAATCTGTGGTTTATACACCAACTATGCTGAGTGGATCTTAGTTATAGCTTGAACTAGTCCAATATGCTAAAGCCTTCAGTCACAATGACTTGTGACTTTGTGCTAGCACAACTATTGATGGCCACTGAATATACAAGAAGATTACAAAATTATAATTTATATGGTAAATGCTTTTATTCTTTGTATGTATGCCAATGTCTTTAAAATACATTTCACTTCCAGGTTGTCAGTGATATTGAAATAAAAATAGAACTAACAAAAAAATCTTCACTATCCATATTTTTTTCTAAAATTTCATTTCATTGTTTAGAAACATCATCATTTTGTTTGAAACGGATGTTGTTCACAATATTTGCAAGCTGTTTATGAAATGTATGACTTGAAAAAGATTTACAGTCTGCAATTTTTTCATGCAATTGCATGAATCATAAGACTCAACAATAATTTAAAATGTAAATAATGGGTGTTATTTTGTTTATTTTTAAACACTAATTAGTTATTTATTTCTGTTTAGAATTGAAAGTAAAATTTGATACTTTGTTCTTTTGTTTTTAAACAATTAAGCTTTGTTATTCAAGGAAAGAAAAGCTGGAATTTCATATTAAGTGCTGTTTAAATTTCACTATAGTAAAGGTGGGCAAGAATCTGTTGGAATGTCAAATATATAAGATTTTACCCTGACATGTTTTTCCAGTGATCAGGCATAATCAGAAAAAATATTTTACTCTATATCAGATTTTATGAGGTAAGTTCATGCTTTCAATCTAAAATTTGTGTTAACTAACTGATGTTAAAATAATTGTCAGGATGCATATAGATTTATATGATAAATATAGCATATGATTTTTATATCTTTTTTTTTAATAAATATTTGTTGGAACTGCTAGGTAACTTTGATATATTTGGGAAAGATATTAGAATAATCCAGAACCTATAATGGCATCAAACTGCCTGCATATGAAAATGAATTCAGTAACTATACAACAATCAAAAGAGGTGTAAGGCAAGGATGTGTCTTCTCACCGGACTTATTCAACCTATACAGTGAGGTAATTCTGAGAGAATTAGAAGTCCTACTAGGATTCATTATTGGTAGCAATCTTACCATAAAGGGGCGGTCTATTTTTCCTTTATATTTCTTACTAGTGGATAAAAGCATAGAGCAACTGCCATGAAAATATTTATAGAAAAGACAGAAGGAAACCACATCATGACAGTGGGAAAATGTTTGTAGAAAAGATAGAAAGAAACTACGTCAGGGTAAGGGAATGAAGTCAAGATGCAAGTCAGGACCAATAATATTACAGACCCTTTTTTGGATTTTGTTAAGAATCTCAAGATATATAGTCAGAGCACCAGACCAGATATTGCAGTAGTATTCAATGCATGAACAAATGGTAGATTTATAAATGTGCAAGATGGATTCCGACAAGTAAAATTGTCTGGCTTGACTTTTAGAAATAAAAACTCACATTACAGTTACTTTACAGACCTGGAACCTGCAAACCAAGTTATTATCAATATTTAAAGAATAGATATAATCTGAAACTTGTATGACATATTGCTTATATAAATTAAGCAAAGCCAAAGAACTTTACCATCATTGTTTGGTTAATTTATTGTGAAAACACTGAATAATAACATCTGATATTATGTATTGATCTCATTCTTTTTGTTTCTGTGACCTTAGATTTGGATTTCTTTGCTTAGCAAGAAAATAATGATTGGAAAGGAACCCCATAAATAAAATATAGAATTATCCGTGTCTAACAAAATACTTTCAGGATTGGCATAATGAGTTTGTACAATCAGTCTATCTACAAAAATTTTTGTTCTTTTATTTCTTCTTCTTCACTCTTTTTTTTTTATAGTAAAAAGAAAAAGTTTGTAGATATTACAAGGTAAAAAAAGAGATCTGGCAAAGTGTAATATATATGCACACACAAAAAAAACAAAAACAAACAAAAAACAGTGTAACAAAAGGACAGCTTTTCTCTTGATATTACTCTATACTTCCTCAGCAATTTTTATTTTGTCAAAAAGTTATTTTTAGAATTTTAATAAAAGCCAAACATATGAATCAGGATTTATACATTCTCTTTTTTTTCTTGAGAATTAACAACAAAAGTCTTAAATAATATTCTTGTAAATAAACAGACTAATAAATAAATAAATGGTGTTTATCTTTCTTATCAATTCTTGAGAAAAAAAGTACAAGTCTAAATGTTTGTGACTTATTTTAATGAATTTATGTGGCGAGTGCAAATGAAAAAAGTGCCTGGAAAATACACTTTTTCAAAATTTATAATTTATTATATTTATAATAGCTGTGTTGCAGGATATTAGCATGTTTGGGTAGAAATAAGTCACCATTATGTTGCAGGTATCATGTCTTTGGTTGTGATATGTATAGACATTTTATATTAAATATTTATGGGCTCCTGAAAAATTTATCGCACAAACAATATTGGTAAACTCATATGAGTCCGGGTAAAATTAAGAAAAAATAAAATATGGAATTTAAAATGAATAAGAATGCATGTTATGAACAAAACACAAACATGTGTACATAATTGAAATGAAAGGAAAATACATTAAAACTAGGTATAAGAATGTGCTTGCTTGTGTATATGTGTAATAAGCATGTGTGATAGATATGTGTGTTTATCTACATGTGTGAGAGTTAAAAAATCAATAGAGGACCAAGGAAACAAATGTGCCATGCTGTCAACATTCTTATTCTGCATGTGACTACATTTGGAAACAAGAGTTAAAAAGAGAAAGAGAGAGAATATGATTGCCTTTTTATAAACTTCAAGAGTGCCCTCTAATGAGCACTTTTGGCAGAAACAAGTGGGGTAACCCACAAGACCTCCTTCAGATTGGGAGAATTTTATTTTGCCAATATGCCTATGTAGTTTGAGTATGTTCTGTTCTGTTCTTCATAGGCTGAAAAGTAAAAGAGTTGAATGGTATAGTTGAGATGTGTGTGATTAACATGCAGATGAAAATGTACTTGTTGGAAATGAATAAAACACTTCTGAAATGTTAACAAACTAATTTATTGAGTTGAAATAGGCACCGGATTGATAAATGAATGTGCTCCAATATACCTTTAAATTCTTGATCCCATCTTTAAAAAGATTTTCATCCTTTGATGTAATAAACAGTTCAAATGCTTTTATTACCTCTCCCTTATTGGAGAATGCTTTATTGCATATGAAAAGCTCAAAATGCTTAAATATGTGATAATTAGTAGGAGAGATATTGAGTGAATATGGAGGATGTGGCAAAATTTCATAATTCACATTATGCAGCTTTTAGACAGTTAATGAGAAGCATGTGGCTGTGCGTTGTCGGGCAGCAAAATTGGGACATCCCTATTTACAAGTCAGGGATGTTTCTTTTTCAATTTTTCATGCATACACTCAATTTTTCTACAATACAAAGTTGCTGATATTGTTTTCCCTTGAAGCAAGAATGAATAAAAAAAATAACCCATTTGAAAGACCACCATAGAGTAGCCATTAACTTTTTAGGGTGCAGTGGAGGTTTGGAGTATTGTTTTGGTAATTCACTTGCATCTAACCACTGGGCTACTCTTACATTTATCAAAGAATATCCATTTCTCATCACATCAAAAAGGAATAAGTCAAGATTGTTTTTATATACTAAGAAGGTTACTTTATTAGATGACCAGATCAACAAGCAACAAAAAAAATGCAACATTTCATGTGTGACAACCTAATATATGTTTGGGTTTTATTAAAATTCTAAAAATAACTTTTTAAAACAATAAAAATTGCTGAGGGAGTATAGAACAGTGTCAAGAGTAAAACTTTCCTTTTGACACACTACTTTCTGCAGCTGCATATATTAAGCATTGTTAGAAATGTTTTTATGAGGAAGATCAAGGTCAGCAGAAATATTGAAAAAAAAAAAAAATACAAAAAGAATAACATTGATAGTCTAAACAAATTTTGGGATGATAATGATTCTTCTCAGCATGTCATTATATAAAAAATATAAACATTTATTATTTAAAAAAAAATTTCTGTTTTATTTTTTTTAAATTATTTAGCAGATTTTAATAAAATCCCTAGCCTGATGTTTTTCAATACTCACGAGTGAACTCTATCATCTCCATGTAAATCACTAAAGCCAAAAGTGATATAATGCCAATGAGGTGGTATGTTCCGGTCATGGTCTCCATTATTGGAATACATACTTATATAATCAAGTGGATCTGGTCCTCCAAGCCTGAAATATGAATACAATAGTAAACTGAAAATATTATAATTTATCTTAAATTCATATAATATATAACTTACAAATAAAACACTTCTGGAAAAAACATATGTGACTATTCTTGTTGTTTTTAACACTACATTTTATCCAATGCATTCTTCAGCCTCCCTAAAGTGTATAATTCATCCAGCTGAATTTTTCTATTCTAGATGGTTCTATATCTGGGCATCTATAAGAACTTTTGATGCTCGGACCTGAAATTATAAAAGAAAAACAATCTGGAGTTGAAGAATGTTGTGACTGAATATAGTTGTTAAAAACAACAAGGATTGAAATAATGAGTTAGAATTTGAAACAATATTCTGAATGTGACATATTCATGAAGGTAAGAGTGGGCATAGGTTTTGTAGTGGAGTTTTAAAAGCTAAACATTTTTCCTTTTATGTGAGCTGATGGGATTAATTTGTATTGTTGTGGGTGTTCTGGTGATGCGTTGGTCTTCTTTGAATGTAATTTTTTTATATATGTATTTTTGGTGGATGAAAAGGGCATCATCAGACCATAATGGGATTATACCATACAAACAAAATCATATATAAGATACAATGAAATAAGCATAGACAAAATGATAAAATGCTTTAATATACATTTCAGAGAAATGATTGCATATTTTAAAGAACATATATGCATACAGAAATATTGTTTATCTGTTGGTAGCAACATGTTTTATCAGAGAACTATCCAGAACCTCTATCTCCTTCAGTGGTTAAAAAACAAAAAGAGAGTTTTGATTTTTGTTTGATTTGGTGGTAAAATGCTTGTTCTAATGCATCATGGGAGTATTCTATATTAACTATTTTTTGTAATACAACTTTTTCTTTCTTTATTGTTAATTACTACTCTTATCTTTATGTTAAATTATTTTTATTGCTTAACTTTTAATTTTTCTTTTATCATTAATTAAAGACAAGAAAGTTTTGATTTTTGTTTTATTTGGCAGTAAAACACTTGTTCTAATGCATTATGAGAGTATTCTATATTTAATATTTAATTTGAATTTAATATATTTTATAATCTAACTTTTTTTCTTTATTGTTAGTTACTATTCTTATCTGTATTTTAAAGTATTTTTATTGCTTAACTTTTAATTTTTCTTTTATTATTAATTATTTTGGTTCCAGACTACTACATAGTCTAGTTAAAGTGTTGGAGGTTATTTAGTAATTTATTTGTTGCTATCATTACAGTATCATTAACTCAGCAGTTGCAACAAGTGTTAAATGTACTGAGAAAGAGAATTGAGTATACTGATTGCTGAATCCATTTACATACTATATGAAATAGGTTCTGTTTCCAAGAAAGAAAGAAGCATTTTCTTTGATTTTACAAGAATAGTAATGACAAACAGTGAATTGCATATAATTTTATAACAACTTAATAAAACAGATGTAAACTCAGTTAATAACCCCTCAGAGCTGAAATTAAACTTACAGAGACTAATCATAAAAGCTTTGCAGTATAATATATACATGTCCTTTTTTATATAAAGAGATAATTTTCTTACTAGGTGTCTCACACAAAAATTAAATAACCTTGACAGATTTGAAAAATCTTAGAAATATTATCTTGAATTCTTTTATTAGAAAGAACATTGTCAGATTTAAGAAAAATGAGAATAAAAAGGACTCTTACATTTACAATCAGAAAGAAATAAAAGTTTTTGAGGAAACAAGGTTTGGGGAATTTAACACTCACATGACATGCTGATAGCAAGAGGGGCAGAGTAAAACAGTAAAATACCTAATTTTGTATAAAGTTCTGTATAAATAGATAGTAAAGCAGGAATTAAGAGGGATGGTTAAAAAACAAACGTTTCTAAGCTACAAAGGACAGGAAGATGTGAGACCTATGATTGTCTATGTCTTGAAAGAATGCTATAAAAAAAAGAATTGTTAGTCATTATTATTGTTTTTTTAGTATTTCTTTCATCTTGATTTCACCGCTTTTCATTTCAATTACTAGTAGCTTTTGGCAGTCATGTAACAAAATGGTTGATTGATTTGTTTTTTACAGCTTATCAACCTTTTGCAAGTTATTTAAAGCCAGAATGATTTTTTTGGGAGATGATAATGGTTTAGTAATATAAGTCTTACTAATTAATCCATAGCTAGAGTGGAGAAGAGGTAGATTTGTAATGAGTGTGAAATAATAACTCCCTTTACCTACTCCCTTCAAATTCAGAAGACTGAGGGAAAAGACAGAAAGGATCAATAAAAACCTCACCTTCACAGAGATTGACTGGTGAGCTGAGAAAAAGACAGAAATAAATTTGTGAGCCTATGTGAAATTGCTTTTGAACCAATGAAAACCTGGTCACCACAAAAATTAGCCAGTGATCTCAGAAGGAGAAAGAAAATAAAGTAGCAAGCTCATGAAAAATTCTTTTTGATATAAAATGAGGAGAAAAATTAAATTAATGAGAGAAGATTGTTTGAAGTCATGTGAAAGGTTTTGTTTCAGTTCCTTGCAGCCAGTGACCAGTGTTCAAGTTCTTGCCAGTGTAAAATCATTCATCAATTATATTATCGGCTTTTAACCTAAGCATGCAGTACTTCAAAGAGTTTTCCTTCAACAATCCAAGAAAGCTAAGTATTTTAAACTATCTCCCTTCATCTACTTTTGAACATATACAAACTCTCTTACCATTGTTTTAAACATTTTTTAATATTATTTTGTGTCATATCATTTAATCTGTTGTATGAACATATCCTCTTCATGATAATTCATTAAAACTGCAGACTTTAAAAATTTCTGATTTATTTTCCTGAAACGAGCTACTGACAGAACTTCAAGCATGTAAATTTGTAAATAAATTCCTTATCTTGTTTTGTTAAAATTATCCATGTATTTCCTCATTATTATCATCCTTCATTAATCTTCTTGGCATGGATAAATCAACTGTTCATTTTAACCCCTAAGCCCCACACCACTATAGATTCATACCTTTACCCAGGGCACTTGCACATAAATGTATATTATGAACTCAACTGGAATTGGAATTTGGCTTTTCAATGAGAAATTGGAGCCATTATCCATTACACCACCTGCACATCCAAGCTTACAGCACCCGATATTCTCAAGCAATCACCCATCTAGGTACTGATGGGCTCAATATTGCTTAACTTCGGTGATTGTATGGGAACTGGTGTTTCAATATGACGTGGCTGTAAACCAACAAAAAGAAAAGGATCAATAATCTGGACAACTCTTGAAATGAAATTCCATCTTTTCTTTACTTGAATAACAAAGCTTAATTGTTTAAAAGCAAAAAAAAAAACAAAAAAAAACATCAAATTTTACTTTCAATTCTAAACAGGAATAATTAACTAATTAGTGTTTAAAAATAAACAAAATAACATCCATTATTTACATTTTAAGTTATTGTTGTGTCTTATGATTCATGCAATTGCTTGTAAAAATTATATTGCAGGTTGCATTTAGTTTTTTTTCAAGTCATATTTCATAAACAGCTTGCAAATATTGTGAACATCTGTTTCAAGAAAAATGAAGGCATTTTTGAACAATGAAATTAAAATTTAGAAAATAAAATTGATGGTGAAGAATATTAATAATGAAAAGTAACTAAAATTAAAATGAAAGAAATAATATTCAAAAGTTAATTTTGTTTGTTTAATATGAATAATTCTCAAAACAATATCAATTTCTACTTGATATCCAGCAAAAAAGAAGGAATTTCAGTATGACTTACAAAATAAAACCTGAAAATGTTTTCAAAATAAAATTAGTATTATTAACTAATCTACATTGGTAAAATTTTCAGGGTATATTTCTATTTATATTAACAATATATAAAGTGAGTTTCAGTTTCTAATATCTATCCTTATAAAAATATTGATAATGAATTTTTCTGAGGATGTCAGGTTTTATTATAAATAAACTAATTTCAACATCAATTTTTATTAATAAATAAATCCAAAAGAATTAGAAATACATTTGACTAACACATACATAGATACATTTGAATAAATTTATTATTTTATATGTTAATATGAGGTTATAGACATTCTGTAACCCTCATAAGGCTTTCAGCTTTGAGGGGGTTTTTTAAACTTTTTTTATATTAAAGTATCAAGGTTATGATCTGTAACACCCAAAAAACATTTTGTCAAAGAAAGTAATTTTCTGTATTTATCTTCAACCATCATCAACTTTAAAGAGACCTATAATTTTACTGCCTACAATACTAGTTTAGAATATAACTCCACCTCACACCTATTGTTTTCTAAATCATGTTGGCTGACTATTCCCATGAAAGACACAACATATAACTTAGCTATTAGGTCTATACAATACAGGCCTACATCAGTTGTTCTTAACCTTTTCTCCTCCAGCAACCCTTTTCAGATATTTGCTCAGCTTGACACCCACTATGTTAAAATTGCACTGGTAAATGGAGCTGAACAAATGTTTTATGTTTATACTTAGCTGTATTATAGCAGTGTGAGCAAGCTGTAGCAGGAACAGCCAAACCATGGTCACCAGAGTTGACCACTGAAGAAGCTGAACTTTAGTTTGTAGGCTTTTACTCTATAAAAATTGAAATTGCAGCTAAATATTTAAAATACATCTAAAAATGTCAATATATAGGCAAACAGGTAAATATGTATATAAAATGTTATGACTTGGCCCAGTCAGGGCTCAGAAGGCTAAAACATTGTGTACAAATACATTCAAGTATTACAATATTGCAGTTTAATAAATATGACACTATTTTTATTTTCTATGTATTTATTGAATTTTACTGATTTGTAAATTTGATTGTGGGGTCAGAATTGAATTATTAAATCTGAGCTGAAACCAATTTTTGGTGTTGTTAGATTAAGCTCTGATGTATTGATCATGATATTCTTGTAAAATCTATGAAAGCATACTCAACAAAACTCAAGTTGCCTTATTGTGGTGCAACGGTTAACCAGCTGATCTCACAGATCATTGCTATTGAGTGGTGAATTCAATTTTAACTGGGAGTTCCATATTTGTGAGTTTGTGTGAAAACCAAGCTTTACTTAATAAATTAGTATAGCCATATTCTTTGAGACCCTGTTTATGGTATAATGGTTAGCAAGCCGGTATCATATATTCATTATTACTGAGTAATGAGTTTGATCCTCACTAGGTGACTCATATGGCCATATGCTAAAAATAAGCTACACTTAGTAAACAACTACTTGTGAAAAAACAAGCAAATAAAAAAATCCTTACAATTTCATAGACACTGACTGAAATCAAAGTTGAGCCTTTGAAAATGGGGAAGTGTGTGTGTGTTTCAGTCTAAGATTTTATATACTGACTTTCCACTCTTGAGTTTAATTTGGCTAATAGATTTTCCTTTCAATCTCTTTTTTATATCATTTACATTTGAACAGTCCTCATCTTTATTATTATTATCACAATGTTTCAGTAAGATAAATTATCTACTCTACAAGAATATACTTTAGTAAAATATAGACATATTTCTGCCTACATTTTTGGGATGAGGAGTTAACATTATTTACATTGTATACATTTGGACTAATGTTCTCATTTTTGTTGTTTTTATCATAATATTTCAGTCATTTTGCTATCTGGCTTTTTTCAGATGTCTGTTGCTCTGGGTACCATCTGGGAATTTTAAACTGAAAGCTTCATTTGATCTAGGCAGGTATATTGTCCTTGATCTGCTATCCATGTCTAAATGAAGGATTCTTGAAGGTTACACAGATCAACAGACACCTGAAGAAGGCCAGAGAGTATAACAGCTGAAACATTGTGATAATAACAAAAAAATGAAGACTTTAAATGTAAATAATAACTTCTGATCACAGAAATTCAAAGAGAAATCTTTTTATATTTCACTAGATTATATTTATGTAGAATTCATTTTTCATTTCACCTCAAGCAAGGCAGTAAAGCCATTAAGACAAGGGATTACTGAGCATGAAAGAATAAGAAAAAGAGAAACATTAAGGAGCAAGAACAATAAAAGGAAATGAATCAAGAAGACAGTAGATAATGATTAACATTGCATTTAAATTTTTGAAGATCAAAGTTGGCTGGAAAGCATGACACCAGAAGAGAGTTCCATAAGTGAGAGAAGAAACTGTTAGCATAGATCTTATGGTTTCATCTAGCCAATTCAACTGTAAATTAATGAGACCTTGTTGCCAATTTGGCACAGTGTTTAAATTCATAAAGTCTAGGTACCATAGAGGAAAGTTCATTAGAACAATTACCATGAAAATATTTATAGAAAAGGCACAGGTAAGCTACATTATGGTGGTGGGAAAGTGACTGAAGCTGAAATGCCACGTCAAAACCAATAACATTGCAGGATCTTTGGATTTTATCAAGAATCTCTAAATATATAGCAGGAGCACTGGACCAGATCTTGCAGTAATATTCAAAGCAAGGATGAATGGTAGACATAAATATGTAAGATAGATTCTGGTGAGAAGAAATGTCAAGCACAACATAGTGAACTAATTTTCTTATCTGCAGACTCAGTAATTTATTCAATATATTCTTTCTATGTCAGCTGAGAATGTTAGCCCTTGAAGGTGCAACAAGTCACTCTCCTATAGGTTAGCATCTCTTGAGCTTCACCATTATTAATTTATCTAATTTATATATTCAATAGCAAAGATAAAAATCAATAAGGAGATACATTCTTACATAAAAAAGCAAGTAAAAACTCTTTATAGTCATTATATGTCAGAAATAAATATTAGGCCAGAAGCCTTAGCAAAATTAATGCATCAACATGGAAAAAAATATAGAAAGCTTATTTTTTCAGGTATGTTACTCTATGGCTTACTGATTCAAAATCCATAAAGTCCCCAAAAGTTCCTAGAGAGCTAAAATTTTTCAGGAGCCCCAAATCCAAGATGGCCACATCTACTGAGACAACACATATAACTTTTTAATCATTCAGCTCACAAACCTGTGTAATATCTCTTTAACAATGAATTTGATGATGAGAAATCCAATTATTACCTTATTTTTAAAATATAAGGACAACCTGACCTAAAAAATAGATTACTAACCTAAACAGTATAGAGAATACACCATTTTACTATAGGTAGAATGAATATCTTAAGATAATCTATGCTGCAGTGTGATGAATCTATACAAACAAGGTGCAGCAGCTGTTATACTGTAATCTTGTTAAATTTGAGATTCATAAGTGCTGCTGAAATTATGCAAATAGTTAAATCCTGTGTATGTGGTTGTTCTATCATTCCAAATTATTCATCTTCATTATCATCAACAGGGGAAGTATTTGTACAATTTAACCTAATACAGTTGGAACACATTTTCATGCAATTTAGTCCTGATTTTCTGCACATGCATCTTTTACCACATCCTGTCTTACATATACATGAAATCATGTGTAAGATATGAGGAGCTGGGTCTTTATCATTAAATATTGGATTTAGCATGCCATCACACAGCTGCCAGCCCTACTTGATTGGCTCCAATTGTCCTTCGTTCCCTAACTACTCCTGAACTGCAAAGTAAGCACGGTATGCATGGAATTTGACTGCTGAGGATGTTGGAGGAAGGCTGGCAAGGTCAAATTTTAAAAGTGACATCTTCATCTTTAAATACAAGATGAACCTCAGCTTGTCTAGAGTTGTTGTGCAAGCAATTTGTACAATATATCTTGAGAAGAAACATCTCAACAGCTCTGGCAATGTCATCATATATTGCATCTGGTCTTTTGAAGATGTCAAGGATCTGCTGGTCCTCTCTGATAAGCACTTTTAAAGCTTTTCCTTTCCTGATATTGTAGAGTGCAGATACAGAGTTAAACCCAGGAATTTCATGAGCAACAAGAAGGTGACCCCTTGCCCATGGATGCAGTGCTTGTTTGATACTGTCTGTGCTATAGATAGCATGTCTGGCATATTGCATGTATAGGTTTGGGAGAGCTTTATCAACCAGCATGACAAGTCAGTTAGTATCTCTCCCAACTACTATAACTGGATTTTGAGTGCTACCTGCAACTTCAATTGCAGTGCTACATATAAGAATGTCTGCATCTGCTGTACTCTGGTGGAATTTTATGCCTGCAGCAGTAAGTACCATCATCAATTTAGCAATGAGCCTTGCCTTATTTTGACAATTTACTAAAATTGAGTGTTGGTTACTAGTT